TTTTTAATTCGGGCCTCGTAAAATGCAACAAATGGAGTCACTTTTAAAATTGTTTTCTCACATTAGACTCAAAGAACAGGTCCATTTAACAGACTATTGGTCCACTTAGACTTTTTCTGAAAAACTCATTCTTCCATTTACTTTTAAAACCGATTGCAAATTGTAGATAAACCTTTCTTCTTGAGATGTGCAATTTCAAAAAGTGGCATTAGTTCTCCGTTTCTTTGAAAAATTGGCAGTAAGAACCCCTATCACAAGGCTGTCTCAATATGGGTACACATTATGTTTACCATCAAAATAATATCAAAACTTAACATTATATAGAATTTAATATATGGAACATATGGCATACAAGTATTCAGAGAAGAAAATTGACAAATTCAAGCGATGTATGTAGTTTACCTATGCAAATCTAGAAAACATTGTCATTTTTCGTTCACTTTGTTATCAAGTTTTAGCATGGTGCTCATTCCCTTTCATTGAAAAGTTAACTGTCAGCCCACACTCCCACAAAAAATATATTGAAACTGTATAATGCAGAGACTGTAAAGTAACTTCTCTGCAAATATCATTTTTGTGGGAGTTTGGGCTCACCACTAAAACTTAATTTTTGTGATGAAAATAAGCCCGACTGGTTTATGTTTTCAATATGGCTGCTAACCTGGGCATACATGTACACTACATAACTGCATGTACAGATTAGGCCATTCAAAATTAATTATATGTTGGCATTCTGATGAAGAGCCTTATATTAAAAACTATAAAACCTTCATTTATTTAAAGGGTTTTATATATTATTTAAGAGTGAAAATGCAATAACACATTGTGCCAAAGCAAGTAACACACCTCTTGAGTTCAGATGACCTTGTTAATGAAGTTTATATACTGTCATGTAGTTTTTAATCAATCTTGGAACGCATTTCGCTACAATATAATCCAAGATCACAATTCCCTTTGTCATTTATATTCAATTCAATTCAATTCAATTCACTTTATTTCATATGTTTCAAATACAGTATTTTACATTGACATGAAAAGACACCCCGAGGGGTGTATAAGTTCCATGTTTAATTAATACAATATAGCATTTATTAAATTAACAGTCAGGTTATATGGAAACAAAAAAAAAGACAAAGCATAAAATGCATCACAATAAAATACAAGTAATGAGAAGAAAGCATTTTTCAAAGAAGATTTAATAATGGCTTAGCAAATCAAACTTTAACTTTCGTTCAAATGATTTGATATGTTTTGACTTTTTGAGATCAAGTGAAAGAGTATTGTAAAGTAATGGGCCACTTGTTTCAATTGATTTTCTTCCAATTTCTGTTCTGAATTTTTTAACAGTTAAATTCTTATTAATTCTCGTGTCATGATTATGAATTGCTGTTCCTGGAACAAATAAATGTTTGAACTTTTGAAAAGGAAATTCTGGTGATTCTGAAACAGTTTTCTGAACAAAGCTAGCAGTTTGTAGTTTATGGATGTCAAATATATTCAATATTTTCAGTTTTGAAAAGAGAGGTCCTGAAGGAGCTAGATGATCAGAATATGTCATAACTCTCAAGAATAAGAGTTTTTATGGCATTTCCCCATAAAAGGTTACAATAGCTTAAGTAGGAGTATATCATGGAGTAATAGATAGTGGTCATTGTATTTAAAGTCAGTCTATGTCTAGTCTTGTAGAGAAGGCCTATCAAGTTAGAAATTTTTGTACAGATAGCATTTATGTGAGATGACCAATTCAGCTTTGAATCAATAATGACACCTAGAAAATTGATTTCTTTAACTTCTTCTATAGGTTGTTCAATAATTTTGAGAACAATATTGTTTTTATTAGGATCTTTCTTTTTATTAAATATCATATACTTTGTTTTTTCTACATTAAGAGTTAATTTATTAGATTTCATCCAGTTAGAAACAGTTTTTAATTCAGCATTCATATCTGAGACTAGAGTTTCAAAATTTTTATTGGTAAGTAGGATATTAGTATCATCAGCATATAAGACAAAGTTTAGTTTGTTTGATATTAAATGTATGTCATTTATAAATATTATAAACAAGAGGGGACCTATGACTGAACCTTGAGGGACACCATATTCAACTTTATTTTTACCAGATCTATATCTAATATCTGTAGTTGTAAATTGATCAATCAAGACATCTTTCTTAACAATTTCTGTGACCATAATTCGATTTTCGAGATAACTTTTGAACCAGGAAAGAGCTGTTCCACGAATACCATAAAATTCAAGTCTTTGTAATAATATTTTGTGATCCACTGTATCAAAAGCCTTAGTCAAATCAATGTATATCCCAATGCTATTTTCCCCGATATCTAATGACCTACGAATATTTTCAATGAAATTTAAAAGTGCTATATAAGTTGAGTGCTTCTTCCTGAAACCATATTGTTGTAAATATAAAATTTCATATTTTTCTAAAAATGTTGTCACTTTTACATGAACAATTTTTTCAAGCACTTTAGAAAATACACTGAGAATTGATATTGGTCTATAGTTGTTGAATTTATCTTTAAGGCCTTTCTTATAAATTGGAATTACTCTAGCTATTTTTAATGCATCAGGAAATGTACCAGTAGCTATTGATAAATTGAATATCTGAGTAAGAGGAATTGATAAAGATTCTTTCAGTGTTTTCACTACTCTTGGTTCTATATCATCTATAGATGCAGCAGAGTCTTTTAAAGATTTTAATTGGGCCATGACATCAGTTTCAGTAATAGGTGTTAAAAATATTGAGTTATTATTTGAATTAGTTTTCTTTAAATTTACCATTGGATCTAGATCATTGTTTATCTTTTTTGCAAGTTTATGACCAATTGAACTAAAAAAATTATTGAAATTCTTAGCTATGTCGAGACCATCTGTGATTTGTCTATTTTCAAGATCAAATGTGTCGTAGATATTAGATTGATTTGGATTTCTGTTTAAGATAGAGTTCATTACATTCCAAGATTTCTTTATATTGCCTTTATTTGTCTCAAATTTATTTCTGTAATATGATTTTTCTGCATTTCTAATGACATGGTTAAGCTTATTTTTATATCGTGTATATATTGCATTGTTTTCTAAAGTAGGATTCTTTTTATATTTTATAAAAAGTTTGTTTTTATATTTAGCTGAGATAATGATCCCGAGAGAAATCCAAGGTTTTTTATGATCATTATAGGTTCTAATTATTCTGGATCTGTTTGGTAGACATCTATTATAAATAACAGTAAAAATCTCAATGAAGGAGTTATATGCATTATTCACACAATTTGGATCAAGTATTTCTTGCCAATTAATATTTGCGACCTCATTTTGGAGTTTGGAACAATTTTCATCATTTATTACTCGATATTGAATCTTTTTCTTTTTAATTTTAGGTGTTTCATTATTATTACTTACAGCATATACATTACAAGTAGAGAGTACATGGGGACATTTTGTTTTTTTCTGAAAACATAGAATTTAGTGACATTATTATAAGAAAATATTTGAATGGCCTTAGTGTTTTTCTAAATAGGGAATAAGTAGAAATTATTTTAGGCAATCCTTTGAGTGTCATGCCATTCATACATGATGCTGCCTTATATTTTATGATATTATTGTGTTTCAAATATGGGAACTGCAAATTGGCAAATAACTTTAAAAGTAAGTGTTCATTCAAACATTTTAATTTCAAATGCCAAATAAAATGCCAAATGTCAATGGGCATTTAGTAAAAGTGACCCTATAACTATTTAGAATATGGCAAACATGTTTAGAAAACTGGCGAGAAGCAATTGAAATAAGAAAATCCATTCTTTTTGAAGTGCCCTTGTGTGCATTTAATTTCAGTCATTTTATCCTAATTGCCCATGGGCATTTAAAATAATAATCACATCTCAACTCTTAAAACATGCTTAAGATACTGTTAGAGTCTCAAAAGGCAACAAGAACAATCATTTTTGAAACAAGAAAATTTAGTCCCCCTAAAATGCCCATATCGGTATTTATTCTCAAGATTTTCAGGTAATTGCCCGTGATAATTTATCAACATTTTTTTTATTTCTATTCACATGTCTTTTTATCAGTCACAATCAAAATAAAGCCAATTGCTCTTATTTCTTGGATTAGAAACAGTAAAATTTTGACAAAAATAGCAACTCTCAAAGTTGACCTTTAAACCACCCTAGTGTCAAGGTCAAATGTCAAAACTCTCAGAAATCACATTTTAAGTAATGAGTCATACTTCCTCTTCAATTCCATGTCAATATATACTTGTTTTGTAGGGGGGCTAAAAGAGGGGTTAACCGCCACCTGTCCTTTGTGTAAGCCTCATGCAGTGTATGATGTAGTAATAGTTGTGTAGAAGACACAATGGTGAAAATCTGGGATATGGTAACATGAAAGTCGAGCGAAGCAAGTCGGAGCAAGCGAAGGGAGCTTGAAAAGTTGAAGATGTTGAAATTCAGATCTGAATGTTCAAAATCTGAGCTTAGATGTTCAAAAACAGAATTTTATGTATTAAACCTCGGTAAGTCATTCATGTTGGGTACCCTACCACAGGTTGACAGAGTTGTAGACTGGCTCCTTAAATTCTGAATCTTATCATTGTCAGTATTATTTATTCTCTCCTTTTGGTTGTAAATTCACTTTCCTGTTTTTTTTCAAAAATGTGTTCAAACCAATTTGTCATGGTATTTTTATCATCATGCATTTAAAGGCACACTATACTTAATTAAGAAGAAAAAATGAAAAGAATTATCATTGAAAAATGTTACTCACACACTTGCTCTAATATGACACAAAGTTTGATTTGCTTTAATATTGGACCAAGAAAAAAATAACTCACAAAGAAAAAAGCATTTGAAGTTCAGAGATCATTAGACATGCACGCACATGTAAACAAAGTGCATGTTTTAAATTACTATTGATTTAAAAGATGGCAACACTTCCATAAAAATGAATGTATCATGTAATACAAACAACATCGCCATCTTTCAATGACCTCGTAAAAACTTGATATATAAAGCTTGACAGATCAAAAATATTTTTTGATAATTTATTGTAAGCTTTGATGTGGTCCATTTGAGCTCTTGTTATTGTCAAATGAAAGATAAGGTTCTTATCAATACATTGGACATACTATGAAATTTAAATGTAAGTCTTTATTTTGCCCAAACATGTTGAAAATTCCCAAAGTGGGCCTTTAATTCTAAATATCTTTGTCAGGGGCATTTTCTAATTGAAACCCCATGTCAGGGGTTACTACAAATAAAATTTCACCATTGCCTTTCAACTCTTTGATTATAGGCATTGTCAATGTCTGATTCATTTACTTCTGAATATCATATATAAAGTCAGCAGTATATTCATCATATCTCGCTGCTTGGTATTTTGTCCCTTCTATTGACCCAATCATAGCATCATTATCAGGGTCGCCAAAAAATATAACAGACTGCCTTCCTTTTGCAATGTTGACATCACCATCTGGTACTCCAACTCTGTGCTCCTGGAAATATTTAGGGTAACGGGTTGCTTCAAATGGTCTTTGCTACCTGGAGGCCCAGAAGCTTAGTTTACAAATATCTATGAACTGGAACTTCAGCTGCTCCAGCTCAAATAGATCTGGCTCAAGATAAAAGCAAAGTTATGTCCTTCACGAATTAAGAAATCGAACTGCAATTCTTGGAAAGCTGGATTTTGATGTATTTTATCAATTTTGGAATCTTGAATCGAGCATTACAAAATCTACTTACTGTAGCCTTAAGTTTATCATCTGTCCAGCATTGTGTGGCATGACCAATTATCACCAAAATGGCTCCAGGAAGGGGTGTTGCTGGGATCCACTCTCCAGATACATTCTTAATCTAGAAGAAAACATGTTGAACATGTAAGTAAAGATGCCAAAAAAGGGAAAGGTTAAAAAGAGAAAAAAAAACACAAAGAAATGAACACTGAAGGTAGATGGGACACACTTTCCATGCAGAGTCTACATTCTGAATCTAGAGGTAAAACACAGTTGCCAAAAGGGGAAGGCATAGGTGGAGCGCCCGATACGCTGGGTACGCACAGGCATCCCAGATGGTTGCAAAAATTTGCTCCAAATACAACCAAATTTCAAAATTTTCCTGGGGGAGAGCCCTTTAGACCCCCCTATCGCTCGTTTTTTGCTTCGCTCAACTCTAGTTCCTGTGATGGCGTACTACTTAGAAAGATAGCACTATGCCCATGGAAGGGCCAAAGAGATTAACAAAACAGATCCATTCATAACAAAAACAAACCTCTGCTGGTATCTTCCCAATCATATTGGTGTTTTAATCATGGAATTATGGGAGAATATTTGTTTATTTTGTAAGGTACTTAGGACTAGCATTAATGTCAGCTACTAGCTTTTAGATGTTACAGACATTTTAAAATGCATACTTCAAGGCCGCCAACATTATCTTGAAAGATGAAAGTAAAGGAGCCAGTATCTGTATGTTTTCCACATCTGCTCTGACCAGGCTTTGGTTTATACCCTTCAGGCACTGGGTAATAGTACAGTGTGCGCATAGAATTGTGACTGGGCCTGTCTGTGCTGTGGAGCTTTGTCAGTGTGTCTCGAGGCTAAAACATTTACAGTTTAAAATTACAGTAATAAATGGAAATGGTCCATATTTATTTGTATTGATCCACCTAGTGTTGTAGCCATCATTTTTGTGACAGGCACTCAGTGTTTGGCTTCTCCATTCACTGGTGATCCACTCGATTACGCTGGAAACATCAAAGGTACGATTTTTCTTTTTTCCTCATTTCACGCTTTGTAGGCAGAATCCCCACAACACTTTTTCACACAAAAGTGTATCAGTATCATATGTTTTAGAAAAAGTACATGTTGGCGAAAAAATAGCTCAGAAGACAACAGAATCATCGATTGAATTCCTCACTTAAGTTACATAAACGGTATGGTTTAAAAGTGCAGATTTTAACGGTTTTTCGAAGTACCGTTTATGTAACTTAAGTGAGGAATTAAATCGACGATTCTTTTGTCTACTGAACTATTTGTTCGCAAATATATATATTTTCTTAAACATATGATATTGATACATGTTTTTATAAAAATACCGTGGGAATTCTACCTACAATGTGTGAAATTAGGAAAAAAGAAAAATCGTACCTTTGATGTTCCGACATTTTGTTACCGAAATAAGCTGTTTCGGTAACCAGCGTAATCGAGGGGATCACCAGTGTTTATTGGCTACTGTGAGAAATGATAACATGAATTGCAACTTGCGCTTGTGTTATCTCGTTCCAAGACTATCTCTACGTTCTAGTCTTGCGAACGTCTTATTCTTTTGCCTGTACGATTACAACATGGGAGAATTTTCTACGTTTCTTACACTTAAGATACCTATTTCAAAAGATTCCTTGGTATTTTAGCATTCTTTCCGTGTAGTTGAATCCACAATTGTGTGGGTTTATCGGCAGAACAAAGAAATTTTCATTTTTGATAGCAATATTTGCGTGTAAATTTTAACTTATTTCAATCGTCAAATTCCTCCATTCAGTTCCCGGCATGCACCAGTCATAAGGGAAATCCCTGGGGAATTCCCCTTCCGACATTTTGAAAATTGCTGATATATTTCCGATGCAAAAACTAAAATCTCTTTGTTCTGCCGATAAACCCATACAATTGGCGATTCAACTACATAAAAAGAATTCTAAAATACTAAGGAATGTATTGAGGTAGGTCATTTAGGTGTGCAATGCGTAGTATTTTCTCCAACTTTGTAAAAACATTGACTGACCAATAATTGGCGCATACGACCACAATTTAAAGGGGTCGTAGGATGCGATAAGCGCTTGTGCTGAGATATTGATTGATACAGGGCAAATATATACAGATTGTAGAGTGATATTCATTGAGGAGGCAACATTATTAGCCAGTATATTGAGATCTGTGAAATATATACATGTATATATATTTATATAGAGATCTATAATGTACTATTTACCCATTTTAATCCCAGAGCCACAGTCTGGAGAATCCTGTTGTTGAGCTCCATACAGGGTTTGATTATATTAAGGCCTTGATCTTTCAACCCTGGCACATATTCATCTGGCCATTCCTGAAATAGCATTTTTAATTTGGACGTTTGACTTTTCCAAAATAGTTATATATCTGTAATAAGTCTGAATACTAATTAGAACATTTATTATTTCAAATGTATGGGTCTCTACTTTATTTTTTAAACGGATTTGAATTATTTATTGGTACCATTATTCAAGGATATTAGATGGTTTTAAATTTTAAAAAACTTGATGTCTGGTTTTGAATACATGATGATTTATTTTCCAGGCAGTAGACTTACCCCTTTCCATTGTGGGTATGTGTTATATGCTTCTTTCATGTCTGCAACTGTTGAGTCATGGCTGAGACTAACATAAAAAGTATATATATAGAGTATACATATAGAGTATATTAGTCTCAGGTCATGGCTAGCACTGGGGAAAAGTCGAAAAATTACTTGAAAAGTATATATTAGTTCTAGATTTGAATGAACATTTGAATGAATATTATTGTTTCTTGAGGTATCTCAGTAAATTATAGAAAACAGGTTTTGCATTTGGATGATGTCTAGAGCCTTTAGATGAACAATGTATAATTGGTGAAATGACATTTAGAATATTGTAATGATATGACATGAAGTGTTGTAAAATGTAACATCATATATTATATTAGGATTTATTAAATTATAGTATCGGTGGTAGTATGGTATAGTGTGATACCATATGGTACAATATCACTCACTGTTCCTGTAAATGATGGTATCCATGGTACATGTAGCCAGCCTCCTTATCATAACTGAACTTCTCTTTGACATCTTTAGGGAGGCTGAAGAACTTCTTTGAAATCTTCATGTATTCATCTACCTTAAATCAGAATATTGAATAGCCAAACATTCTTATTAATATACATTTGGATACTTGGTCATAAGGTTTGAAAGAACCTGATTAACTGTTATCTGATTATATGTTTTCTATTTAGAACAGTATCTGTTTAAGTCGTAACAATCATGCATGTGTCTCATGGCCTTCGAGTTCAAAACCTATATTTAGTAAATACTTCTGTTATCTAGTTTGATGTAAGTAATAGGTGTCAACATGTTTTTGTTATCATGTTTTATCTCTTTGAATATGTTCAATCATGATATAATGTTCAACACACAAAAATGGCTCAGAATATATGTATTTTCTATTGTGTATTTACATTGATTTTGAGAAATCATTTAACTTAAGAAAGTAACACTTTACATGATGAGCTGTCTGAATAAGGCAAATGAATCTCAGCTTCAAGTCATTGGCATTGCTTGATAACTTGGGGGAAATATTTCTCACTTATTTGTTTACAGATTCATAAAATCCATAAAACAAGTTACTTGAAATCTTTCTAAAATTGCAATAATCAATAAAATTGCACAAATATTTTCAGTTTACAATATCTTGTTTATTTGATTTAATGAATTCTATTGCTATAGAATAATGTATATGTCAGTGTTAAAAATGTTTGTCCTGGTGGAGAAGGGTTGACACTTGAATTGATATTTGTGTCAACAGCCTGACTCCATACCTATTTACTGTAATACTATGTAGACCTCAATTTAATCCAACCCATGCTATAATATAATAATATGCTTTGATTTGAATAGTAAATGGCAATTTTATTTTACACACCCCTCCTATCTTACCCCCCCCCCCACCCCCTAGAGTGTTTCCTATATAAAATTTAATAAATCCCATATGTGTACTTACCAGAGAAAGGTCAAAGCCATGATTTTTTAAGTAAATAGCCCCGACTTCACTGAATGCCTTGTAGACTTCATCAGCCAATGGAGCCAAGTCCTCATCACTTGGTGGACTCCTGACATCACTCAACCTATAGCTACTAAAATCTATCACTGGTATCATTCTGATTTTCAGGTTTTGGTTATATGAGTCACTAATTCAACACTATTTGATTAATCATTTGCTTTGCAACATTGTTCTTATCATCCCATCAAACAAAGTTTGAATAAAGAATATAGAGAAGTTATCTGTTTGTCCGTCCATTCATCTGTCCAGGTGATGAATGTCAGGTTGATAAATTCAGTTCATGTTTTACATACTGTTGCTATTGTTATCCCAATGAAATTTGGTAGCCTAAAAGATATATAGCTATCCGTCTGTCAGTTTGTCTGTCCATGCATCAAGAAGATAACTGGAATACTAGTACACAGATTTTCCTTATACTTGATAGAAAGAAGTATATTGGTCAATAGTTTTATCCAAAAAGATTTTCAAGATAACCACCGCTTTAAGAATTGTTCGAATTTTTTGCAAAAATCTGAAGTTTCAAACATATTAATGTTTGAAATTTTGGTAGCAGCATCAGGTGCTTAAATGTATGGGAAGTCTGGAAAGCAGGAATTTCATTAATTATGAGATCTTTCTGAAATACAGCTTTGTTTCACTCAAATGAAAAGCAGTTTTGAGGAAGTTCAGAAGTTGCAAATATTGTATCGTTTTTATAATTCAGGCTTCGTGAAATGCGAAACATGCCATCTATTCTTACAAATATAATTTAAAAACCTACAATTATAGCATATTTAATAATTAATTCATTGCTGAGAAAATATTTGTCTAAAAACTGTTCACTTTAATGGACACCAGATATAATTAAATCAATAAAAAATTTAGGCAGCAACTATTATTAAATTTAGGTCAGGGATCACTTTTAAAATTGTTTTCTCACATTTGGACATAAGTTTTTCTGAGCCTCATGCAGTGCATGCTGTAGTAATAGTTTTGTAGAGACGCAAGGGTGAAAATCTGGGAAATGGGAAAATGAAGAGTCGAGCGAAGCTAGTCGTTGGAGCAAGCAAAGAGACCGTGAAAAATTGAAAGTGTTGAAATTCAGATCTGGATGTTCAAAATCTATGAGCTTAGATTTTCAAAAGCAGAATTTATGTATTAAACCTCAGTAAGTCATGCATGTTGGGTACCCTACCACAGGTTGACAGAGTTGTAGACTGGCTCCTTCAATTCTGAATCTTATCATTGTGAGTATTATTTTTATTCTCTAATTTTGGTTTTTTTTACAAAAATGTGTTCACACCAATTTGTCTTGGTATTTTCTTCATCATCAGGTGTATTTATTTCTAAATGAAGCATTTAGTCATTTCTTAGACTTAATCTAAATATCTTTGTCAGGGGCATTTTCTAATTGTAACCCTATGTCAGGGGTTACTAAAAATAAAATTTCCCCATTGCCTTTTAACTCTTTGATTATAGGCATTGTCAATGTCTGATTCATTTACTTCTGAATATCATATAAAAAGTCAGCAGTATATTCATCATATCTCGTTGCTTGGTATTTTGTCCCTTCTATTGACCCAAGCATAGCATCATTATCAGGGTTGCCAAAAAATATAACAGACTGTCTTCCTGCTGCAATGTTGACATCTCCATCTGGTACTCCAACTCTGTGTTCCTAGAAATATTAAGGGTAAGGGGATACTTTAAATGCCCTTTGCTTCTCTTAGGCCCAGAAGCTTACTTCACATTATAATTATATGAATAGAACAAATTAATAATTACAATTACATGAAGATATACAGTTTTTGATACTGATTCTGTTTTAATGACCCAAGAAGTAGTTTTTATACAGCAGTTGATGCTACAGCAGAGTCAAACGCAAAGTGGATCTGTCTCAAGATGAACGGAAAGTTTTGTCCTTCAGTAGATGTTGGTAAAAAATTATGCCTGCAATTTTAGGAAAGTTGGATTTTGATATATCTTTTCTACTTGGAATCTTAAATCAAGTGTGACAGGATCTACTTACTGTAGCTTTAAGTTTATCAACTGTCCAGCATTGTGTGGCATGACCAATTATCACCAAAATGGCTCCAGGAAGGGGTGTTGCTGGGACCCACTCTCCAGATACATTCTTAATCTAGAAGAAAAACCCAGTTGGGGAAGGGGAAGGGCCAAAGAGGTTAACAAAACACATCCAGTTACAACAAAAATAAACCCTCAATACCTACCCAATTACTAGTATATGGGAGAACTTTTATTTTGTAAGGTACAAAGTATTACAAATGTCAGCCATTAGCTCTTAGATGTTCCAGACATTTGAAATGCATACCTCAAGTCCACCAACATCATCTTGAAAGATTAGAGTAAAGGAGCCAGTATCTGTATGTTTTCCTAATCTGGTCTGACCAGGCTGTAGTTTATACCCTTCAGGTACTGGGTAATAGTACAGTGTACGCATACAATTGTGACTGGGCCTGTCTGTGCTGTGGAGCTTTGTCAGTGTGTCTCTAGGCTGAAATATTTAAAGTTTGTGATAAGTGGTCCATATATACATGTATTTATATTGACAAGACTTTGTATATGTGACATATTGCTGTAACAATATAAGGTCCATATTTAGGGGAGGTATCAAAAGTTCGATTTTGGATAGAAAGCTATAAATCTAGTTAGGGGGAGGGGGTTTAAACCCATTTCAGTTTGCTATCCAACAAATTTCAACATCTCAAATTTTTGGCAATTTTGACTTGGAATGGTTTAAAGATAAAGATTTTACCTGATGCTTTCTTCGTCAAGATCATTCCAATGGATTCTGTTATATCAATAGTTGCTAAAAGCCGCAAATTACGATAGGAATTAACAAAAACTAGATCGTGTTTTAGCAATAATTTTTCAATTTCTCAAACCGGAAGTACTTTCATTGTATTTAGTTTTAGGGGGGAGGGGGGTCAGAGTCAAAACTAGATTTATTTAGTTTCTGATCCGACTTCGAACTTTTGATGCCTCCCCTTATTATCTTTATGTATCAACCTTCTGTTGTAGCCAATATTTTTTGTGACAGGCATTCAGTCTATGACGTTGGCATTGCATGAGTCTTTGTTTTTCATTGAATTGGTCTTCTGCTATGTAAGTTGATTGATATAGGGCAACACTGTACAGCTGCTATATGTATTGACATCTTTTGAGGACAGATTAGCCATTATATTAAGATTTATGAAATATATATACATATTTATAAAGAGATCTATAATGTTTTATTCACCCATTTTAATCCCAGAGCCACAGTCTGGAGGATTCTGTTGTTGAGCTCTATACAGGGTTTGATTATATTAAGACCTTGCTCTTTGAACCCTGGCACATATTCATCTGGCCATTCCTGGAATAATACTTTTAGAATTTTCCAAAAGAGAAATGTTATGTTGGAAATGAACCATTGAATTCATGAACCTTTGAAAACTTAACTTGAATAGATTAGATACTGATTCAAACATGACCATTTTAATTCTCCCATTCGCGGTTCACTCTTTGAATCAGAACGTTTGCAAATATGTTCTAAAAAAGCACTCAAAAAGGACAAAATTTGATTGGTCAATATTTCCCACTATGCATTTTGCGTAGCTATTTGCGTGACCCGAAAGTTCTAAATCAAACTAATTACGCAATTTTGTTTTTACACCCGCACGCTAAATAAAACAATGACACCATCGGAAGTATTCTTCGTTGTCATTGCTTTAATAGTCAGTATACCGAGTTTAATCAATAAAAGAATGTACAATGAACAACAAAATTCGGAAACGAGTACTATAGATTTGCTTTCGGACCACTAAACAGATTGACCTAGATAATAGCGACGCATCTTCTTTGGTCTACTGCTCGGTTGTTTGTGGGTTTTCAACGTAACTCTATTATGTAATTTGAAGATGAATAGTTTTATTCAGTTGTTGCATCGATGTTGCAGTTTGTAGTGCGGTAAGATTGGCATGAAAGTATTGAAAGTCGAATGGAATTGTTTTTTCCAACTGGTCAACTGATCACGTGACCTTCTCTTCCGGAATATTATTATGTCACCACCAAAAGTGGTGACATATTGTTATGGTCTCCGTTTTTTTTATGTCACCACCAAAAGTGGTGACATATTGTTATGGTCTCCGTTTTTTGCGACGGCGGTTGGAGGTTGGCGTCCGGCATCTGTAACAATTTCTTACAACTTCCTATAACTTAACAAATACTGTTTAGACTGACTTCAATTTTTTTCTTAATCATCTACTTAATCATCTACAGTTCAAATCTGACTTTAGATTTGACATTTGACCTTCAATGACCTTCTCAAGGTCAAAAAGGTCTTTTTTCAACTTGCTTCACATTGACTAAATTTTTTTTCAAAATCATCTACATGTTCTCAGAAATTCAAATCTGACTTTAGATTTGACATTTGACCTTCAATGACCTTCTCAAGGTCAAAAAAGGTCAAAAAGGTCTTTTTTCAACTTGCTTCAAATTGTTCTCAAAAATTCAAATCTGACTTAAGATTATACTTAAGATTTGACATTTGACCTTCAATGACCTTCTCAAGGTCACAAAAGGTCAAAAAGGTCTGTTTTCAACTTGCTTCAAATTGACTATAAAAATTTTTCAAAATCATCTACGTGTTCTCAGAAATTCAAATCTGACTTTAGATTTGACTTAAGATTTGACATTTGACTTTTCAAAATCATCTACATGTTCTCAGAAATTCAAATCTGACTTTAGATTTGACATTTGACCTTCAAAGACCTTCTCAATGTCAAAAAAGGTCAAAAAGGTATTTTTTCATCTTGCTTCAAATTGACTAAAATTTTTTTTCAAAATCATCTACATGTTCTCAGAAATTCAAATATGACTTTAGATTTGACATTTGACCTTCAATGACCTTCTCAAGGTCAAAAAAGGTCAAAAAGGTCTTTTTCAACTTGCTTCAAATTGACTAATTTTTTTTTTCAAAATCATCTATATGTTCCCAGAAATTGAACCTTCTTAAGGTCAAAAGGTATTTTCCAACTTGCTTTAAATTGACCAAATTGTTTTAGGTGGTGACATTTTGTCATGTTAATGCCTTGTTTCACTTTTCAATCGTCGTTTTCACCAAGCTATGAATTACATGTAATACAATGAAAAAATAGCTGTTACATTAAGATTAATAAGAGATCAATCGTTTCTAATAATTTTTTCTGTACTCTCGTACGGGAATATGAACGAATATATCGTTTGAAAAATAAGTGTGAAAATCCCCATGTTAAACCTATGAGGGAAAACAAGGAAGTATAAATTTGTTCCTCCGCGAACTGCATCATTGGAAATATTTTGACCTTATAAGGAAAGATTTTCGCGTCTCTTCTTTTGAAGAGGGAACAACAATTTCGAGAATTGAGTTTTTCAACCAATCAGAATGCAGAGGAGCCATTCATTAATTCTCCATACATGACTGACAATACACATCGGGGAATTTGAACTGTACTGTATTTCATGGACCTTAGTTCCCAATTCTCTGAACTATACTTTCATTTTGTATGTTTGAATTGGAATAAATAATGATCAGCCTTTTAAAGGGGTATTCCTTGCCAGACCATCTCTCTCCTAATATGGTAGCTATAACCATATGCATACTTTGCAAGTTTATCGAAAAACAGAAAAATGTTTTGAAATGGTCAATATTGATCACTTAAAAATGTAGTGCTCAATTCCAGTAGGCTGCCATCTTTTAAAATTTCACTCAGGAAGTGATGTCATCGACTCTCAACTTTGCATATAACATTAGGTAAGGAGCTATTAGAATTACTAAACCAGCTGAATATTTTTTTCAATTTGGTCTATGATTAAAATCCTTTTGATGATTTCTTCTTTAGTTCTAAGTTGACAACTCCTGAAAATATTTTTACACAGAAGATAAGGGCTTCTTGTTTAGAAGTGATTTTGTACTTCTTTCCTATACTGTAATAGACAAGGTTGCAGGCGTGTCAACTTGGGAACACCTAACATGAGTGACTTGGAAATGTTGAACACCTCCCCTCAAAATGTGGACACCTTGGTCCAAATGTGAACACCTTGATCCAAATTTTGAACACCTTGGTTTAAATTTTATTACATCTTGCCAAATTTTAAACACCTCAAATTTTTCGCGCTCGCTACGCTCGCGTTTAAAATATCCATCAACGGGGGGGGGGGGAGGTACGAAAAATTTCGAACGGAATGCATGACATATACGTAATTCGCGTGAAAAGTCCGAACAAAATGCGTACGTTTTTTTCCCGCGTTCTTATTTTTGCTGTGTACACGATCTTTTTTAGAAATTTTTCTACAGAAATATTATTGCTTGACAATTACCAGGTAAAATGCGTATTTGCGTGACATTTTCTGTCACGCAAAAATAACTGGCGTGACTTCAAATTCTTCAGCAAATGCGTGACAAATACGCAAATTGCGGGACAGTTGACAGGCCTGAGGTTGTAACAGGTGAGAGTCGATGACATCACTTCCTGAAAGAAATCTGAAAAGATGGCAGCTTACTGGGAATGAGTACTACATTTTTAAATGATCAATATAGACCATATGAAAAAATTTTCCCGAGTTTTGCTAAATATGTAAAGTATATATATGATTGTAGCTACCATATCAGGAGAGAAATAGTCTGGCAAGGAATGTTCCTTTAATATGGTGATCTTATACACTTATTGAACGGAATGTCAGTTCAAATGCACTCACCTTCAGTTCGTGCGTTATATGACATTCTGTCCAACTTGTGCTGAATTTCACCACATTGAATGGCCTATCATTATTTATTCCTTAATTATAACATTCATCATTTTAAATGCATGGGTCTCTTATTTTATTTTAAAATAGATTTAAATTATTTCATGGTAAGCCATCATTCAAGGATATTTGATGTTTTTATTATTTTGAAAAAGACCAAGTGCATGCTCCATTATGATTTCCCCACGAAAAAAAAATTCATCTGATTTTTCAAAATGAATACACTTCTTTTATTATTACATTTATATGTACACTAGTATCTTGTTGACCTATATTCAGCACTGTATTGATGAATGGGCAACTCATTAGGGTCAATATTCAATCATGAAGTGTAGAGGCATAGATGCTAAAACAGCTGAACATTTTGTGTCTGTCAAAATCAAGTTGCATACTATGCATCCCTACATCTTATCCAAATTTGTTATTAATTAATGAAATATACTAGTATAACCTTTGGATTTACAAAGTGCTTGATAATTGCAAAAGTTGCTTTTGAGGCATTTTTCTATAACCATTTTTAGGGAAAAAATGAAATGATGAAATACTGTAAAATCTTTTAACTTGAAGTATGACCTGAATCGTTTGCAAACTTCCTATTTGCACATTTGATGAGATATACCATTTGTGTCATATTGTGAAATTGATTAATTTGCAATCGATTCAGGTCATAGTGTATTTTTGAATTTTTGTAATAATCAATGCAAACCAATTGCCTCTATTGGGACATTATGATATCCCCATATTAAATCAATGGAGACACATCCCTTGTCAAGTCAACACACCCTTGATGAATTTAATGACCTCAACCTCAGCTCATGTGGGCCCAAGTATTGTGACATTGTATTCTTCATGTTCCACCTAAAAATGATTCTTTCTGACATGGGGATATTTGCCTATAATTGCACTAGGTCCTTTGATGGCTGAGTTTGATGATATGGTGATATTTATCTTAAGGGAGTAAACCTACCCCTTTCCATTGTGGATAGGTGTTATATGCCTCTTTCAGGTCTGGAACTGTAGCATCATGGGATGTACTAGGGGAAATACAGATAAATTACTCATAAAGTATATATCAGTTCTAGCTATATTACATTTGAATGAATATCATTATTTCTTGAGGTATCTTGGTACATGGGACATTTAGAATATTGTAAGGTGTTGCCAAATGTAACATCTAATACATGTTATTATATATTAAATTGTACATGTAGTATCAATTATTATATGATATAGTGTGGTACTGTGTACCCTTTGCATTTGTTTGACTTCACTTCTGAAAGAGAAGTTCTCCTTCACTCTTTCAGTTTACAATAAATCTCTGAACTCACAGAGCTATTCAGAGTTCATTGTCGAAATACGGATGACCCTCTATACATGTATATTGCTTTTTCCTCTGATGTCATTGCACAGTTAATGAGCACACATTTAGCAGAAAAGATTTGAAATGATTCATGACCCTCGCTGTCACTGGCATTGGTCGTTGGGGTGGATCTACTAAACTATAATAAAATCTATACTAGGCAGAGGGTATTTATAACTAGACGCTCAGGGTAGGTATCATATGGTACAATATCACTCACTGTTCCTGTAAATGATGGTATCCATGGTACATGTAGCCAGCCTCCTTATCATAACTGAACTTCTCTTTGACGTCTTTAGGGAGATTGAAGAATTTCTTTGAAATCTTCATGTAATCATCCACCTTAAATCCGAATATTAAAACAAATTGGATAACAAGTATTACACATTTATACACCTTAAATCAGAATATTAGATAGCAAGTACATTGTTATATATTTCTCAAAAACAGCTTAAATTATGATTATTTTGTCAAAAAAACAAAGTTTTCTTCTGTTTGTTGTGATACAAACCCGGAAAACACCAAATACAGTGCATCAATTGTGTTGATATTTTTCAAACTACATAAAAAATATCTTTGACATCAGCTCTTAAAAGGGCGATGTTAGATGTGTGTTGCGCATGCAATGAAACGCTTTTCTTATGCATATACCATTTGTCCAATATTTTGTATCTTCCAACACACTGGTTAAATTAACATTGCTGATGCATCATTTGTTTAAGATTACTCCAGAAAGTGCCCTTAAGGGTTACATCTTGAATGACAGACAATGAAAGCATAAGACAAAATATTGTTATTTTTGTGTTGGATTTAGGTTTTGCAGTCCAATATTTTGTATCCTCCAAACATTAAGATTTCATCAATGCACATAAATGCTTTCAAATAATTATTTTCAGAAATGAGACTCATCCAATGTAGTATTTAAATGATTTTTATATAAATTCTTAATTTTATCTAATTTGTTAGTAAATTGAATATGTTGAGCATGTGTTGGAGGATACAAAACATATGGACATAATAAAACATGTTATTTTCTAATGAGTATGAAATATCAAATAACTCCTTTTGAAAGCTGGTCGGAAACATATTTTACTAACCAGATAGAAATTATTGACGGACTTGATGCATAATTTGTTATGTTGTCCGAGTTTCCATAGCAAAAATTCACCATTGAAGCTGTTTTTAAGAAATAATAAGCAATATTTTTGAAATCTAGAGCATGGTCATGGTAAACAGTTGTGTTGACATCAAGACAGCACATATTTAATGTCGTTGATATCAACACACATGTTTTTATGATGATATAATGTTCAACAAACAGAAATGGCTCAAAATACAGATATATTTCTTTCTTTATTAAACTCAAACAAGTTTCATTAAATTTTTCCAAAATGAAATTATCTATCTAATTACACAAATATTTTGAGTTTTTTTCAATATTTTGCTTTCTTAATTCAATGAATTCTATTATTATAGGATTACGTATTTGGGTCTATCACAATGTCATTAAAACAATTCAAAAAATTGTTTGTCCCAATAGAGGAGGTTAAGACACTTAAACACTTGAGACACTTAAATTGACATGGTTATTTAAGCCCCTCATTGTATCAACAAAACCACCCCCCTCCTATCCAGTACCCCTGAAAAAGATTGGATGTGTACTTACCAGAGAAAGGTCAAAGCCATGATTTTTTAAGTAAATAACCCCCACTTCACTGAATGCCTTGTAGACTTCATCAGCCAATGGAGCCAAGTCCTCATCACTTGGTGGACTGCTGACATCACTCAAGCTGTAGCTACTAAAATCTATCACTGGAATCATTCTGATTTTTAGTTTTGAGTTATTTGAGTCACTAGTGCCGTTTCGCAGCAATTTACTTTACCATCCCACCAAATAAAGGTTTAATAGGAAAACAGGATTGGTCTGTCCATTGGTCCATCCGTTTGTGTGTCTGTCCGGGTGATATTTCAAATACTGGGTTACAAATTTGCATCATTTTTTTAAGGCATAGACACATGCTTGAGAATATCATTCCAATATGCCCACTCTATTCAAAATGGCCACCAGTTTTCCTAAAAAATGGAATCTTAAATACTTTCCATGCTCCTTTGCATCATATTTTAAAGGCATAGGCTTGAGAATATCTAGTTTTCCTAATAATATGGAATCTTTAACAACTCAATTAAGTACCAGTTGATGATTTTGGTTCACATTTTATACACTGATGCCTTAGGGACAAAGGACACCTACTCAAGAATTTTTTAGATGACCACTGCATTTAGAATTGCCACCATTTGTCATGAAAAAATGTATATTAGATTTGATCCAAATTTATAACCTAATGATTTATGGAAAGAGCTTTGTTCCATTAGGAAATTTCAATATGGCTGCAGATTTTAGGAATGGCCACCACTTTTCCATAATATGTACATTTTTGATTACTCAAATACCATATGTTATATTTGGTGCAGAATGTACATGTGCATGGTTAATGGGCATAGCATAAGGTCTCTGATCAAGAAGGAATTTTCAAGATGGTCACTGAATTCCATTTCAGAAAAATAATTATTGATAATGCAAATACTGGTTATCAGATTTCCTTCAAAGGAAGTAGTGCACTCTCCATTATGATCTCCCCATGAGAAAAAATTAATTCATCTGATTTTTCAAAATGAGTATACTGCCTTTATTATTACATATATATGCACACTAGTATCTTGTTGACCTATATTCAGCACTGATGTATAGGCCACTTATTAGGGTCACAATGCAATCATGGAGTGTAGAGGCATAGATTCCAAACCAGGAAGTATTTTTATGTCTATCAAAATTTATTTGCATCCTACGCATCATATCCAAATATCCAATCTTTTAATTTAAAGTATGACCTGAATCGATTGCAAACTTCATACGGGCATCCCGATGAATCTTGTCTACAGGTTTTCAGCCAAACCATTCGAGGGATTCATCTCAAATTTTAAGGGATTTTCTACCTATGAAAGCTTAGAACTGATTAGTTTTGGCCTTTCTGGGTAAATGTTACATGTAAAATGGTCACTTTGTATTTTAGGTCCTACTTGTTTCGGGGGGTTTTGCTAGTCTAGGGAGTTGCTATTTCATATTCACATTATCATATTGACCTTACATGTCAACAACAACAACATAACTTCAAAGACTGAAAATATTAATTGAGAATAATAAGTCTAGGAGGGTTTCATTAAAGCTTTTCATTGGTTGATTATGATCATGCGATCCATACTCACGCCCACTGATCGGAAGAAATGAACGGAGGGGGGAGTAGCTGATTTTTGCTAGAAAATTCAACAAATCTGGAAGATTTATTTTTTCAAGAGAAATTTTACAATTGAATGGCTAAATAAATAGGCGCAGTATACGGGTAAATGTGTTAGGTCTTCTAGGATTTTTTTTGAACTGATGGACTTCTAAGATAAAAGATCTATTAAAAAAGGCGCAGTATCACCAATGTGCAAATGTCAATGTTTTTGCTATAAATCAAGCAACAATTGTCTAGCTACATGACCTGTAATAAATAAATATAAGCGACGTTTTTATCACAAAATTAATGTCATTGCCGGTTTTTTTTAAAAATAAATTTCCAAACGTTAGATAAAAAATAATCGAAAATACTTAAAATTGAACAGAGGGGGGCGGGGAGTAATATGTCTTTAAGTTGGAAGAAATTTCCGCGAATTTGAGTATTTGAAAAATGAACTAAACAACTCAGTAACAACTTGATGTTACAACTCTGAAAAATAGGGACATATGGAGTTATTAGAAATAAATTTAAGTTACATCCCTCATCATATGTCTTATAGACACATTACTACCCCCCCCCCCCCCTCCATTCACTCCCCCCCCCCTCTGTTCAATTTTAATAATTTTCGATTATTTTTTATATAATGTATAGTAATGTGTTTTACAAAACCAACGATGACAATAGTTTTGTGATAATAACTTCACTTACAAGTATTTATTACAGGCCGTGTAGACCCCTGTTGCTTGATTTATAGCAAAAACTTGGCATTTGCACATTCGCGACGCCAATAGATCTTTTATCTTAGAACTTTATCAGTTCAAAAAAAATCCTAGAAGACCTAACATATTTCCCTGTGCACTGCGCCTATTCATTTAGCCATTCAATTGTAAACTTTCTCTTGAAAAAATAAATCTCCAAGATTTGTTGAATTTTCTACGGAAAATCAGCTACTCCCCCCTCCGTTCATTTCCTCTGACCACCAGGCGTGATACTAGCTAGCATCATTCTTAGGTCGGTATGTCATGTTAAGTTAATATGTACCTCTTTTGTCAGCTTTCTTTGAAGTTTCACACAAAAAAGTTTATCATGATGCCTTTGCTATCATTATATCTGCACTTTATTTAACTGTATATTTTAGGGGAAAATTCCCTACATTAATATATTTAAGTGTTACATTTGTGTGAAGACATGACAAGGATTGTATTTATTTTTCGTTGATTATTAAAAGGCCAAAGCTGATCTGGGGGCCTTCTTTAGATTTGAATTAATAAAATCTACTTGGCTTCATATTAACCAAAAATCAAAATCATTTACACGTTTTTGGGAGTTCATATTTATGCTTTGATATATTCTCATGAGACTGCATTGAATGTTGAAGCTAACATCTAGCAGTTTAAGTTTTTCAGTTCATATTCCATGCTTTTGATATCTGATTTCTGATGAGCTTCTTTAGATTTGCTGTTTGATACTGTTTTTTGTAATATGATATGTAACAACACTTAGTTGGATTAAATCCTGTGATATCCATTATTTGAAATTTGAATACTGAAAATGCATTTTTCAATGAGAATATAAACAAAAACTTTTGATAAAACAATAAAAAAAATGATGTCAAACGTTAAATTGAAAGAAAGATTGGACCTATTAAGCTCATATCTTTTTATTTCCAAATCAGTAAAAGTACACCTCTATACTTTCAGGTACATCATATGCAGAGCAATACGGGAAAAGGCTCGGGGAATGCTTGGTTGTCACACCAAGCATGCTAACTCATTTTCTGTCTCAAAGTTTATACAGAAGGTAAATATAATATTAGATGGGTTCAAGTGGCATATTATTGTTGATGTATAAAACATTTATTAGCATAACCTGCACCCTGTTAACCCTCAAGCATTAGGCGTGATTATGTCACACATTTGATGGCAAAATTGAAATCACGCATCAATTTTGTGTGTATGATAAATTGTCACGCAAATCACGCATTATGTTGATATTTGAAAAAAATGTTTTTTGTAAAATGCTGATACGGTTAAAAAACGAACGCCGAAAAAAGCGAACGCATTCCGTTCGGACTTTTCATGCAAATTCTGTATATGTCATGCATTTGGTCCAAAATACATGTACAGGGTGACCCAAAAAAATGCAACCCTCCATTTCTTCAATATTTTTCTTAAATGGAGGTAAATTGCTCTGAGATTTGGCACACAAGGACTTCATTCAACGTGGGATCCTCTGGCAAAGTTTTAATAATCATAGTCTTATATTGATAGAGTTATGGTTGTTTCAAAATATGCTCCAGATATCGTCAATTTCGCTGAAAACAAACTTGCAATGTTCAAGGAAAACTGTTCATAACACATGCATTTTTCCCCATGGGTATGGCTCAAATTTTTGCAGTCATTGCTTGTTGGAGTTCTGCAATTGCGGTAGGGTTATTTTCATACACATTATCCTTTAAATAACCCCATATATAGAAGTCAGGGGCATTGAGATCAAGACGTTGGGATGACCATGGGTTTTCCATCCTAGGAGAGATAATCTTCTCATAGAAATTACTAGTGAGCCAGGCTATGCTATCATAAGAAGTGTGAGGAGTAGCTCCATACTTCTAGAACCACTGTTCTTGTCTATTGAAGCCTGTATGTCATTCTAGAACTGCCTAGAACTTTCTGGGGACACCAATATTGCGCTGTGTGTTAACAGTAACAGTGTTGCCATTATCAACCTCAAACCAAAAGGGGCTGATGATTTCATGTTTGGAAATTGGCAGCCCAAGCTGTGCATTTAACAGAATGAAGGGGCCTTTGAAGCACTTCATCTGGAATTTACATGTTCATCTGGAGTTTACATGTTCTGAAAGAAGGGAATGTGATTCATCTGAAAACCTAACATTGGAAATGGACGACATTTGGAGCATATTTTGGAATGACCATAACTCTATCAATATAAGACTATGATTATTAAAACTTTGCCAGAGGATCCCACATTAACTGAAGTCCTTGTGTGCCACATTTCAGAGCAATTAACCTCCATTCAAGAAAAATATTGAAGAAATGGAGGGTTGCATTTTTTTTGGGTCACCCTGTATATGTCACGCAATTGCTTCGAAACCTTTTGTACCTACCTACCTACCTACCTACCTACCTACCTATTTTTTACTCCATTCTAATGCACCTTTCAAAGGTTTGAATGAGACACTCAAATGTGGAGAGGGTTAGGAATTTAACATGTGTTAATGTACTATATAGGGTCTCAGACAAACCTTTGAATACAAAAAATGTTTTGAGCCGAGGAATTTTAACATATACTGCACTCCTAGTTAATTTCGTTTTTATTTCGCGAATCTTGAGAAAACACGATTTCGCAGCTATTAAATTTTGCGAATTTCACAAGTTAAAATCTCATTATTCTCTGAATCCTCAAGCTCTGTAAATAAAATAACCTCATGTACAGTAAGTAAGCCTACCCAATGTCATCTTTGTCAATGGCACGCTGTACCTTAACCTCTATTGCATGTCATTTTTGGGTTTATTTGATCTAATAAATCACTATAACAGACATTGTTACTTAGTATCCCATTTATCGCCTGATAACACTTGACAAATGTTTTACAAAACACGAAATGCAATGGAATCCCAGGTAATAAAAATATTCACAAATCCCCGGGGATTAAGTTGATAATTACCACAATTGCGAAATGTGCAAAACTAAATCACATGCGAAAAATACCAGGGGTGCAGTAAATATTTCCATTCTAGGTGTTGAAAATGTAGCTATATTTTAAAAAAGATGGTGCTGCTAGTAGCCATTCCATAGTATTGAGAGTTGTACTTGCACACACAAAAAAATTAAATGAAATAAATGTTTCTATGATCTCTCGGGGCTTTTTTCTTAACAGGCTGCTAAATCCTAATTTACCTGTTTTGGTAAAAAGATTGTAAAGTTCAAGAGAAAGCCCATGGTTGAACACTTTTTATTAGAGTCTTATGACCAATTGACTTATATATGAATTGAATCCCTGTAGGTGAACACCTCCCAAGTGGAACACTTTCCAGAGTCTTATGACCAATTGACTTATATGTGAATTGAATCCCTGTAGGTGAACACCTCCCAAGTGGAACACTTTCCAGAGTCTTATGACCAATTGGCTTATATGTGAATTGAATCCCTGTAGGTGAACACCTCCCAAGTGGAACACTTTCCAGAGTCTTATGACCAATTGGCTTATATGTGAATTGAATCCCTGTAGGTGAACACCTCCCAAGTGGAACACTTTCTAGAGTCTTATGACCAATTGGCTTATATGTGAATTGAATCCCTGTAGGTGAACACCTCCCAAGTGGAACACTTTCCAGAGATACCAAATGTGTTCCACTTATACGAGGGGTGATCCAAAAGTCTTGGACGCCCCGCTCTAAATTTGCTATTTTTTGATATAATTACATGAAACTTTCAGACAATAAATATCATCATCTTAACAACTTTATGTATAAGTTTCAACAGAAAATAATATATTTTTGCTACTTTTCTACATATCTTTTAATACCGGGTCCCTGCCACCCGGAACGGTATTTGAATATAGCAAATCACGTCACAACTCTTATAATATGGCAAATACTTTAGGTGCAGGTGCACAACCTAACACCAGCCATGATATGAGAGAATTTTCGATTTTCAATCTGAGTGTCATCTGCCATCATCATCTTCACATATTAAGACCTACTTTTCAACATATTTTCCGCGAATTTGAACACATTTTTCATACCACTTTACCAATGAATGGAAGACATTTATGAAACCGTCAGTGCTTATGTGATACAAATGCTGCTGGCGTTCTACTCTAAACCTCATTCAATGAGTAAAAAACATTTTCTTTCAACCATCTTTTCAACTTGGAGAAAAGGAAGAAAATCACATGGAGCTATAGATAGACTGTATCGTGCATATGGTAGCTGCTCAAGGTCAATAATTGTGAAATTATCTTGAAGTATTCTTTGTTCCACTTTGATTTTTTCGTGTTCTGCATTTCAGCAGCCATCTTGCAGCAAAAATGATACCAGAATGAGGGTTGCTTGTCTGATGGCATTTTCTTAGAATTTGACATGTGCGGCCTTTGTCATATGTGACATTATAATTACAACACAATTAAATGGTTTCCTAGTAACAAAGGAAGTAAACTAACATGGTTTAACATTCAAAATTCAAAGAAATATAGTGGTCAAGACTTGTGAAACAAGTGAAATGGCGGTAACATTCAAGGCTGAAAGTTGCCATGTGCGAATACCGTTCCGGGTGGCAGGGTCCCTGTATTAAAAACTATCTAGAAAACTGTACAAAATATATCATTTCTCCATGAAATTAATACACAAAGTAGTTTGGTTGTTGGTCTTTATTATTGGAAAGTTTAAAGTAATTTTATCAAAAACCAACAAAATTAGAGCAGGGCGTCCAAGACTTTTGGATCACCCCTCGTACATGTACAAATCTATATTCAACAGGGTGGCAGGTCAATTTTATGCAGCACCCATTACTCAAATGCTTAAGAGATCCCTGTAAAATATCAATCTGTTTACCTGTTGTTAGATGGAGAGGCGCCTTGATGAAATACAGATCTGGCTGGGACTTGATGACAGTAGCACTAAACAATGGAAGGTAGTCAAAATTTCTCATTTTTTATTTGCCTTGTGTTTTATTCAAATTGTATAAGGTGTTTTTTTTTCAAAACAATAAAATAATTGAAATACAGGTCTATCGACAAGTGACAAATAAAATATGATACAAACTTAATATATTTGACTTATTGCTAATGGTATCCAAAATATTTATTAAAGTTTTCTTCAATATTGTTTTTGTATCATGGTCAAAGTAGTCTACAAAATGTACAAATATTATTGACTCTAAGTATAACTCAAGCATAATTACAGTAGAAACTGCTAAGTGGGACACCTCTATAAGTGGAACACCTCACAAGTGGAACAGTATTTTTAAAGTCCCATAGCCTATCTACTCCTTGTTAATGAACCTCTAAGTGGAACACCTCCCAAGTTGTGTGGTCCCAAGCGTGTTCTACTTACACAGGTTCTACTGTATATACTCGTACAATTATAACATAACTACATGAATATACAATTATAACATAACTATTTACAATTTCTAACATATATATGGTTTGCATGATAAATCACACAAACATTGAATGATACTGACATGCTATCATCATGAAAGTAGTAATTCCAGTATGGGTCTTTATGAGGATTCAAAAAGTTTATAATATTTTTGTCAAATATACAGGTTGGGCCAAAGAAAACAATAACTAGTTTAAATATGATTGATTCATTTGATATATCTTAAATCATGCCATGTATTATATATCATTTTACAGGGAAATCATTTCACTACAATATAACACCATCCGATTGAAAACGCTTATTTTCTTGTGAAGTCGAGGCTAAAAATGACACCAGGGGTGTCACGAACGACCAAAAATGTAAAAATGAAAATTCCCGAGTTTCCTTTCATACTATAGTCACAGCAGCACTCAGTATACTTGATTGAATCATTATAAATCTATTTAAGAGTAATACCCAGTTGATAGTAAATTCAAAGGATATAAGTACTATTGGTGAATTTTGCACTAAACTTGTATAAATGTTCCTCTTTTTAAGGTGCCAAAGTTCAAATTTCCCTCCATTTTCTACAATTTGAAAATCTGCAGTGAATGATTATTTGGTCGCTCATGACAACCCTGGTGTCAATTTCAGTCTCTAACTCCAAAAGAAAACAACGCTTTGTCAATTGGATGGTGCCATTTTGTTAGGACGTGATTTTGCTATTTTATTCCATTGAACAACCTCCTGATTTGAACAATGATGACAAAGGAGTGGTATCGATATGGAGAACTGAATTCAACAATGTTTTTCTCTTAAAGTGTGCGCCAAAGTTTAAAACTGCGCAGGCGCACCGCTCTCGCTAAACTATATAAAGAGATTACCAGGTACACGATTCAGAGGTAAGCCAGGAAGGCGAACGATCTTCGTCTCGTGATGATTTCCCATATAATCGTAACCAGGGAAGTTTCACCATTGAAATTGAAAATTATTATTAGATATACTTTGTAGATGTTATTTATGAAGCTATTTAGTGTTTGCATCAATCAAATGGCTCATTTTGAACATATAAAAAGTATCTGTGTTTTGTTTCCCAGGGAATTGTATTGTATGTAGTACACACATAAATAGTGTACATTATACAGCACTTGAATAGCCTGGTTTACATAATATTGAAGGGCATGCAGATTACATGCACACGAGTACATGAATGAAGGCCTAATATTGATATACGTAGCTTGCATACCTAAATAAAAAATAAACTCTTCTAATCCCCTAATGTAAACACGGCGGTATACGTAGCCCGATTTATCGGAGACTTTAAAGTGATATATAATACATGGCATGATTTAAAATATATCATATGATATTCATCTTTAGCTTGGGTATTGTGTTTTGGCTCACCCTGTATTTACATCTGAAATCATTGCCAAGAAGCAGAAATAAATGAAGGGGTCTCATCTTTGTAAAACTTTAATAATGTTTATTGAATATAGATCCTTGGTGAAGAGTTTTTGAAGAGATGCATTGACCAAACTGAGGCAGAGGAGTTGAGCTTGGAGGGTATAGCTGACAAGTTTCCTGTCACTTGGTAAGAATAGAATTGGCAATCATTACTTTAGAATAAAATATTTGTGTGGTATTCTCCAAAATGAACACCTCAAAATGTAAACACCTTTTTGTTCTAATTTCTGGGTTGTTTCATTGCATTGTACCCTCTCCATAAGTTTGATTTTGCATCCTAAAAGAGAGCTTCGATCATTCTCCTAATGTACTAGGAAGTGGCATTTAGCACTCGGGGTAATTGCATCGACTCCATTATACATCTACATACATTTGAGAAAAATTTTCATCCTGCTTGCATGAAAAGGGATACAAATATTCATCTTGGATTTCTTAGAAGGCCCAATATCCATTTCTTTGGATGTTTAGCACAAGAAATATGAAGCAAACAGAAACATTTTTATGATGGTGGAGAACACCTGAATTCTCAGAGAAATTTAGAAAAAACTGTTTTGTTAAATTTGAGGGGAATATTATTTTGCACTAAAGAGGTGACATACTTGTTTACTTTACTGGGCACTTAGTGAACTATATTTACATACAGTTATACTCAAATTTTAATGGTTTTAAATATGAGGATGAGTATTTTACACTTGCACCTGTTTCAGCCTTTTGCTAGGAGATATGGTGCATGTCATAAGTGCAACAAAGACTAGACGGGTTGAATATTTTAGTTTTAAATGTAAGGAAGAATATGCTCATAAAGTTTAGATATAACCTGTACATAGATCTTCAATAACTCACATATTTGACCAGATAATTCAATTTTCTTTCTCAGAAAAAAGCTTTGTAAGGGCAGAGAAAGATTGCTCATAATATTTTACACTCTAGTCTCTCCTGCCACTTTAAGTTAGGTCCTCATGTTATGTCGTGTTATGGTAAACAATATTCATGTTAGGCATAGGGTCAATATCAAAATAGGTATAAGGTCATAAGGTCCATGTTGAAATATATATAAGCTCAATGTCAAAATAGGTATTAGGTCCATGTTATGATGACTAATGTCCTTGTTAAGATAGTGGGGTTTCTGTTTAGATAGTAGGGGTGTCATTCGGAAAAATAAAATCAGACTGGAACAGGACTTTATCATTTTAGAATCAGAATGAGGGATAAACTAAGTGCATGTAGTTTCCTTTCCTAATGGATGTATTTGTATTTTTGTTTTTTATCAATGGAAATACATAATAATTGTTATGATCTTGTCTTCAACCAATCTCAATTTGAAGTCATAAATTGAATATCCATCAAGATTTCGATCCCGGCATTGTCATCAGCCTCTATCTAAAGGTCGTGCATGCATCTATGGAGATTAAGAGAACATTCTACATTGGCTATGCTGCATTTTGATTTGTTGAGAAATTCAAATAGAGCACATTGTGAGATTGTTTTTACTCTTAAACTTGGTCTAGAAGATCATATCAGCATCAATACAAGAGAATCATTCGTTGTTCTCAGAGGGGTTGTTTTTACTATTAAACTTGGTCTAGAAGATCATATTAGCATCCATGTTAGAGAATCATTTGTTGTTCACAGAGGTTAATATAGCTACTTCTAGCTAGTGGAATTTAGGGTTGCTGTGAGGTTGTTATTACATGTACTTTCAAACTCCGTTTTCAAGATTGTATCAGCATAGGTGTTGGAAATCATCTTAGAGGAAGGTATAGTTACATCTAGATTCTCATGATTTCAGGCTAGTTGTGATTAAGGCTGTTTGTGTAAGAAGGGGAGGACTTTTGAATATCTTTTTTCTGCCTAATGTGTGACAATTACCTTGATCTTTTCTCATGTTATAAAAGGGGAATAGGTGGTTGAAATATCAGTTTCTCAATTGTGCCTTGCTATATCTTCTATTTTGAGTTGAGGCACTAGCATGTGTTTATGTTGATCAAACTACTTTACTGACATTTGGATGATGTGTGATTATGTTGTTCTATTATGTTACCCTTTGCAAGAGCTTGTATCTGTCTCATAGTAACATTCTTTATGAATGTGTATTTATTCTAAGTTTTTCCTGACATTCTGAGATTAGTCTTACTGCCTTTACAATATAAGGATGAGAATCATCATTATAGACCTTTCTGAACATCATGTCACACTTGTTATAGTATTCCAGTGCTGTTGTGTATTGTCCAAGACTTCTATACAGATTGCCTATGTTGCCCAATGTGTCTGCAACACTAGAATGAGGATTACTTCCAAATAGTGATGTCTCCATTGTAAGACTCTTGTTATGGTATTCCAGTGCTGTTGTATATTGTCCAAGACCTTGATACACAATGCCTATATTGTTCAATGTGCCTGCAACACTAGAATGAGGATTACTTCCAAATAGTGATGTCTTCATTGTAAGACTCTTGTTATGGTATTCCAGTGCTGTTGTATACTGTCCAAGACTTCTATACACAATGCCTATATTCCCCAATGTGTCTGCAACACTAGAGTGAGGATTACTCCCAAATAGTGATGTCTTCATTGTAAGACTCTGGTTGAGGTATTCCAGTGCTGTTGTGTACTGTCCAAGACTCTGATACACATTGCCTATATTGTTCAATGTGTCTGCAACACTAGAGTGAGGATTACTTCCAAATAGTGATGTCTTCATTGTAAGACTCTGGTTGAGGTATTCCAGTGCTGTTGTGTACTGTCCAAGAAGCTCATACACAATGCCTATATTGTTCAATGTGGCTGCAACACTAGAATGAGGATTACTTCCAAATAGTGATGTCTTCATTGTAAGACTCTTGTTATAGTATTCCAGTGCTGTTGTATACTGTCCAAGACTTTGATACACATTGCCTATATTGCCCAATGTGTCTGCAACACTAGAGTGAGGATTACTTCCAAAAAGAGATGTCATCATTGTAAGACTCTTGTTATAGTATTCCAGAGCTGCTGTATACTGTCCAAGACTTTGATACACATTGCCTATATTGCCCAATGTGTCTGCAACACTAGAATGACGATTACTTCCAAATAGTGATGTCTCCATTGTAAGACTCTGGTTGAGGTATTCCAGTGCTGTTGTGTACTGTCCAAGACTCTGATACACAATGCCCATATTGCCCAATGTGTCTGCAACACTAGAGTGAGGATTACTTCCAAATAGTGATGTCATCATTGCAAGACTCTTGTTACAGTATTCCAGTGCTGTTGTGTACTGTCCAAGTCTCCCATACACTATGCCTATATTGCCCAATGTGTTTGCAACACTAGAGTGAGGATTATAGCAATGTATCTTCCTTCTTAAGGCTAAGCATTCCCTAAGGTATTGTAAGGCATCTTTATAGTTACATTGTGCTTGATACAACAAACCAATTTCTGCTTGAATATAAGCAATTTTGCTCTCATTGTTATTTATACCATCAATTGTGCATATTTGTAACTCAGATTTAAAGGCAAACAATGCTTTTTGAGAAAAGTTTAAATCTTTGTATAATTTTCCCTTGATGATATTACTATTTTCAGTGTATCTTTCATAATGTGACCACTCTGCTTGGTTGTCTCTATTTGATAGTAAGAATTCAGACCATGGTATGAAAACAGTAAAAAAACTCACTATGGCTGTGTATCCTCTGACAGGCAGTACATATTTGGGATTATTTATGCCTTTGTCGTTTTCAGATTCACTTATCAAAAATGAAATCAGTTCTTTTTGCTCTCCAAAACCACTGTACACCATGTGCCTGAGGTTTATAGCTATACAAACCATCATTTGTAAATCTTTCTTTGCCCTTTCAGTCAAGACTTTCATATCATGTAATTCCTCTAAAATATCAAGAGGGGCAAAACTTTTGCAACCATACTTTAGCTTAAGAATGTTTATCGAAATAGTTGCAAACCTGTACACATCATGTTTAGTATGTATTTCTTTTCTGAATGATTCACTGGTGAGTGGGTTTTTAGCATATTCTTCAAGGTCATCTTTCAGTGTTTTTAATGCTCGCTCTTGTCCATTAGAGACAATCTTTGTCGTTGAAGGGGAATTTAATATGAAATGAACTTTGTCATTATATTCTTTCCAGAGAGTCTCATCTCCAGTGATAAAAGTTGAATTCATCAAAACATCACCAAGATGATATCCCTCTTTCACAGAAGCTTCCTTATGCTGGTAACTGGTCATTTCATCTATGGTCATAACCAACTCAAGTCGTTGAGGCTTATCAGGTTTCTCTCTGGACTTTCGACCAATGGGAGTTTTGCTGGCAGAGGGATGTGTTCCGTCAAATGAAACCCCACGCGTTGTCACATTGTCCCAGAAGTCTATGTTTGGTAAATTATCAGGTAGATGTCTATTGAAATCAGTCAAAACGGGTATGTCAAGATTGTTCAAGATAGTCTCTCCTAAATTAAGTACCTTAAGGTGCATGTAATAAACAATCATACGCAAGTGGGTTTTAACCTGTTCAACTGATTTCCCCATTGGGTCAAACAAAATTGCCTACTCTATATCAGAATAAGCTGTCACCTCTTTACGGGAAATTGACCCAAGTGCAATCATTGCAAACTTACATTCTGGAATTCCAATGTCAGTCATACAATCTTTTAGCATTAATCTATAAAACTCGAAGATTTTCTCTGTGAGATTATCGTAAAAAGATCTACTGTTTGCTATTGTCCTATCTTCATCTGGTTCCTTAATCTCAGATGTTAATTCATCGACAATCATATCATTATTTATAATATCATTTACAGTTGTTTTGGAATATTCCCGCATTGATTTTAAAATTTGTTTGTACCTGCTTGTTGATTCTGCTGATGTTGTGATTGTTTTATTTTGAATTGATAATTTTCTCAAAAAGTTTGTTTCAATTACCTGTTTTCTCTGTTCGATGTAATCTTTATCATAAAATGACTCACCAGGATTGTCTGCAAATGATTCATTGGTCTGTCTGTGAGAATTCCATAGTTTCTCAAGACGGCACTGTGCTGCATTGAACAGCGCACATGCCCACACATAATGTTCATACCAGATGTTTGATATTTCTGCTGTTTTTATGTACTCATCTCCAAGTTGGCACATCAGGTCAGCTTGCTTTTTCAGCTCTGTCTCTTGATTACACTCATTGATTTGCTTCCCAAGGCTGTACTGTTTCGAAGTTACTTCTGCAATATTTTACATTGATTATATTTTGCTTGCATACATTATTAATGTTTTCTTCTCATCTACCTGAACAGTGTTTAATAAATAATGATTTGAGGAACTTTGTATAAAACATGTCTTATTTTATGAAACGTGTTCACATAAGACAGATTTACTATTTTTCAAATGTGACTGTTTTCTGTTCAAATTGAGATGTGTTAATATTTCAAGGTTATATTAACATTGGAGTCAAGTGGAGAATAAGGATTTCAAATTTGGAGGAGTTTCAGTTAGCCAGGTGTTCAGATATACAGATTTTGCTGTGTTAGGGTTCCAATATTTTTAAATGTACCCATCTCAAATAGTCTAGTTCACTTGGTGTGTACCAAATTAAGTGTGACAGTTGAACGCATGGGATAAGGTACATGTACAACATGAGGATGATGCGATTTGAGCAAACTGATGTTTTAATTGTTTCAGAAAGATTTGGTCTCGTTTCTAGATATTTTTATATGTAAATATCTGTTACATCATCCAAGACAGTGAACTTGTCTGTGAATTTTATATTTTATAATTAAACCTACACAAACTCCAAACATTTACCTGAGATATATATCATACCTTACCCCGCACGTTCAACTGTCACCCTTAATTTGGTACACACCCTGTTTTGTTTTAATGATAAAATTGTGCCTGTAGAGTTTGCTTCAAATAATTCTTGTCTTGGTATTAGATTTTCTTCTTGGGTGGCAGATACTCTTTTGTGTAAAGATTGTGTGTCAGCTAAAATCATATTGCTATGTTAGTAGTATACATGTATTTATTTATTTCTCTGTTCTTTCTGAATGCAACATGCTAAATGCCGATGTCCATATCTAGAATTATATAAATCTTTATGATAATATGAAATGTCTTGAAATGTCATGAAATGTGAGAACTGTATATTAATGTGACTTTTTCCTGAAAACCAAATTGGTAAGATATACATAGTTTTAGTCTTACCAAGAAATAAAAAGCCATGCAATAATGTAATGTTCTTTATATTATAACTTTAGTTTGATAATTTAAAATTTGGAAGTGATCTGATATGCCATGCTCTCACCTTTAGATGTTCCAGCAGAACGCCCTTCTGCATGCTCTGCATTCAGCTTTAATGTTGCAAGTATGGTTCTTAACTCTTCATCTACATTTTCTGAAAAGACACATTATAGTTTACAATCTCATCAATAATCTTGTTATTAAAATATCAGGAAAACTGCTCATTTTTGCACATGCAACAACTGATAAGGTTTTGGGCATGCTGGTTAAATTACATGGTGGCCCTTTTGAATTCTTTGATGAATCGGTCATTTTAGATTTTTTGATAAATCTTGTCATTTAAATTCCAGGAAAACTGCTTGTCTGTTCAATTTAAATTCTACACACGCAAGAGCAGACTCGTGCCAAAATCTGATTAGGCTTTGGCATGCAAGGTAAATTTCATGGTGATCATTTTGCTCTTTAAAGTGCAATATTTATTATCACTGTGCTTCTAGTTATCCAAACGAATGCAGTTCTGTAGGGATATTTTGAAGCCCTCCCTCCATCAGTCAGTTAGTCTATCTGTCCGTCGGAATGGAGTTTCTTCATATTTGGTGGAAAGTAGTATATCGGAAAATAGTTTTACTCAAAAGATTTTTTTCACGATGGCTGCTGCTTTAAAAATGGTGGAAATATTATACGAAAATCTAAAATTTTCATTTTAAACCAAAGTAATAAATATTATTGTTCGTAATTTTGGTAGTATATTCACAACATCTATCTATTTCACATTGTGTTCTGCGTTTTTTACCCTGACCCCCAGAGGCCATGTACGGAGGGTCAGGAAAATGAGCTTTACTATACTCAAATGAAAGGCAATTTAGATTGCAAATATTGTATCATTTTCTGATTCGGGCCTTTTAAAATAAAAAATGGCTGCTTAATGTGGGTTTTCTCAATAATTATTTGATCTCTTCAAAGTATGGCAATATTATACTTATACTCAAATTGAGTAAATCACAATTATGTTGTTTTTTTTTCGTGCCTCAGAAAATTTTAAATGGCTGTCTAGAGCAGGAATTTGCTATTACTATGAGATCTCATCAAACTATGGTGACATGATACTATATTAGAGCTCAAATATTGTATTGTTTTTATGATATGTGCCTTTGAAACTCTGAAATGGTCCTACAAATGCTTAAATCAGTGGGAATTCTGATCTATATCTAATGTATGTCTTTTAATATCTGCCTAAAATTTAATCAAGGGTAGACTAGATGGTGAATATTACATTCTGACATATACAGATTCATGAATTTAGTGTTCGTTGGGATTTGCTACTCCTTTGAGTTGCCGATTTCTAGTTATGAATTATTTAGTTTAATGAATGATGTGTATCCTTCACTCTCTGACTGGATTCTGACTCTCCCACATCATTTGAGACTCTGAATGAATAATTTAAATTACATCTACAACAATTTCCTGTGTCAATAATATTGGGAGATCAGTCCATTAAATTGTAGAATTTTGCTTTTTTGGCACTTGTGCTTGCATTTTATTTGAACACCCTGAATATATTAACATATTTGTCATATGATTCATGAAAAATAATTCATGCCTTATGGCATATTAAATTAGGGGAGTTGTTGTGAAATTATATACAGGAATGGTTTTCCAACAGAAGCTTCTTTTGAATGCACCGCATACCACTGTAATGTTCCACTTGTCTGTTTTCATTCTTTTCTCCATTCTCTTTAAACATACTCATAGCTTATACCCTTGCCCCCCCCCCCAGCAGGGGAATTCTATGCTGTGAATAGAACTCGTACCAAGAATAAAAATATATCAAATATATGTACATGTAATAACATACATCTTGTTTTCTGGTAGGCATTTTGAAAATTTTTCGATGAATCTTGTCATCACCATTTCAGGAAAAGCGATTAACTTTTAGAGCTGATTAACTTTTGGGCAGCCATCTTGTTTTCTAACGGCCATTTTGAAGGTTTTTTCGATTGAGTTATCTCATTCACGTCATGTGCCTTGTTATTATTAGTTCATCTGATGAAGATGCAGATAAATGTATATAAATATAAATTATAAATACTGAAATTATAATAAATCAAATCACCATATGCTATATGCTAAATGTTTTGCATAATAGATAATGCAGATATAAAAATTTAATATTTAAAGTACCTGGTTTGCTCACCAATCCAACAAAATGAATTTGTTGGGTGTATCCCAGTCTGATAACATTCCTGATAGCATCATCTTCCTTTGCGACAATTGTATATGGTTCATCATATCCTGCTGTAAAGATTTGGACATTCACATCAAATAGTTGTGTGCATGCCCATATCATGATATAGTCTCCCCATGTTCCAGGCTTGTTCATGTAGGACTCTGTATACCAAGAAAGAAATGATTCTTGATCATACTTGTCTTCTGTTGATGTGAGAGCTCTGTGTTTCTTCCATTCCTCATTGGATTCTCCATCAAAAAGTGATATCACGTGTTCTTCATTTGGCTGAAAGTAGATGATAAAACAGACTTAAACCTATAGTGAGATATTTGCTTGTTAAGCAATCTGATTCACACATCTTTGAAATGCAAGTATGTTTTCTGAAAGTTGACATTTTATTTATATATTTAGTACCAAAGAGGCTCCTATACACAAATACCCCTCTTATCTACTTATCATGCATTTTCTTGAAATAGAGGAAGACCCAGTATATCTCAGTGATCATTAGTTGGTTAATGAAATCAGCCTAAAACCCCGGGTGTTCACTCTATACAAAATTCAACGGGGGTCCTAGGCTGAGTCCTCAAACATCAATATATTTCCATACCACGCTCAAAAGCCATACAAATGTCCAAATATAGGACCAATGCGACACAAGAGCATAAAACTAAATTCAAACTGAAGGCCCCGAAAAGAAGGGAGATCTGAGGATTACAATACAAAACAACCTCAAATTAAGAATATGTGTAGCTACTAGACAAATGCCCACCACAAGTGTGAGGTAACATATTTTACATGACCATTTTTTGTTCTTAGACCAGAAAGTGGAAAAATCTAACCATTCCCATCCCATACCTCAAAATAATAATTTTGGGGGGCATTCTCATACCAGATCCTAAAATTTGTGTCTATTGCCATGGTAGAGATTAAAAGGTGGATTGGATCGAGTGGATTGGATTCATGTAAAAGGTGGATTGGATTGGGAATCATCAAAATGTGGAATTTCTTATAAAAAAATTCTGTTGATCTCCTTCTAAACAATTTCCCTCTAGAGTATTACAGGTCCCTTTTGAGAAATCAGAACAAAGCAATGGAAAAATACATACTCCAATTAGTTCATGGACACTCTTAAGTATTTAACCGCTTTCCCTTGTAAATCAACTTTTGTAAGACATATATCTTTAGAAAAAGAAAACATGTCATTCAAATTAATGTGTGAATGTTCACAAAACATTTCTGGTATGTTCTGTTTGGATTGAAAACAGATGATATGGATCTTCAAACCAGACTGCCTTATGATTTATGAAATGTCTCAAATTACACTTGGAATGAATAAGATTGTGTATCAGAAAGCGGGTACCAGGTCATCCTTCTAGCCCACCCAAGCAAAATAATATTACATCTATTATTTGACATTGTGCAAGTGATGAGAGCACCAATCTTCCTAAAGGGAGATCAATAGAATTTTTTAAAGGAAAATCCATATTTTGAAGATAGCCAATCCAATCCACCTTTTACATGAATCCAATCCACTCGATCCAATCCACCTTTTAATCTTTACCATTGCCATACCAAATGTCAAAAAAGGTAACCCCTGTACGCCGTGGATCCCCGTCAAGGTTTATATACAGTGAACCCCCCCCCCCGTTCGTTCCTAATACACACGGATATAAATCAAGAATCAGCAAAAATACTAACCAGTATTCACTGGCATGTAGCGATTATAGCGGTCCTGTCTTGGCTTATTGAATTGTTACGAAGTTACGTATGCGGTGCGGAAGTTAGAGAGCAAATGACCATCATTTCAATGTAATAGTTTATGCAGGAAAATTGAGATTAGGCCATTGGAGTATTTGTTTCATGCATTTGTAAAACGTTACCCACTCATAGGTCATACTTATCGTTAAACCAATAACTCAAATATATGCCCTTGTACACCGATCACCTGTTGAAATTAATACAGGCCGATTTCAACAAATGTAAACGGCGATATATATTTAAAATCGTATTCAAGCATGACCACGTCCCAACTTCTTTTGTTTTCTTTACAACTAAGCTATGACTGCAGTCTATTCAGTGTTGCGTATCGAACCTTGTTTATTATAAAAATAGTGCAACAACAAGCAGAATTCACACATTTACCTTATACTTATTCTCAACTGAAGACATTGAATTTATCTCTTAGGTTTTACATTATAAATATCTTTACATGCAGAATACGAAAATAGAGGCTTAGGCCCAACTTTGTATGAATTTTATGAGAATAATCTGATTTTAGAGAAATGAAAAGAAAAATGTCCACACACTACACAAAATATTTATGGTTCCCCGGGAATACGTATGTGCTGCTTGTATATTAGAATCGTATTCCAGTTACAGAAAGAAGTACATATCATGCTAAACTATATACAACAGTTATGCACTTGGAGGTTTTGGATACAGGGAATATCCCGAGGGATATATAATATGTCTTCCCTTGGTCCCTTCGGTCCCTCGGGAAGATATATTGTATATCCCTCGGGATATTCCCTGTATCCAAAACCTCCAATTGCATAACCCCTATATATTGGCCAAGGGATAATCCCAATATCCTGACTATATGATAATATGTTTATCCCATACCAATCTTGGTCATCTGGTTCACATTGTTAAATCGTGGAAATATTTTAGAATATTCATGTCCAGTTTTGTTTTCCTGGCCGTGGGCGGATTTTCATGTTCTCTCAAATAATCCCATATTTATTTTCTCGAATTTTTTATTGATAAAGTGGATGCCCTTTCCCTTTTTTTAACTATCAAACAGACCCTGATTGTCTGTGTTTTCTCCATTGCCGTTTACAGTCATTCCGCGAACGTTACAAATTATGAACAAATATGCAAGCGGCGATTATGACGTAGCGGGCAGATA